GAGAAATATCTCTGAGAAGGAAACATTTGAGCTGAGGCCTGAGTGCAACATTGGCAGTTGTCAATAGTGGGAAGAAATTCCAAGGTGATGGATGTTCAAAAATCTGGGCGCCCTGGCCGGTGTGGCTTAGTTGGTTGAGCATGTCCCAGTGGTTCAGAGGTCACTGGTTCGATTCCTGGTCAGGGCACATGCCCATGTTGTAGGCTCAATCCCCAGGAGGGTGTGTGCAGGAGGCAGCCAATAGATGTCTCTTTCTCATCGATGTTTCTATCTCTCCCTTCCTCTCTCTCTCAAAACAACAACCACAATATATATATATATATATTAAAAGAAAGTAAATGTGCTACATTTTAGGGGTTTTCAGGCAAACCATTTTGTCACACATTTCTCAGCTATCATAAAGTGAATGAAGACATTTTCCTATTTCAGTAATTTCGACATCAGCATTTTTTGGTCCCAGCTAAAATAAGTCACCTATACATAGATAGGACAAGAGAAGATACCAAAATTACAAGGGCTTATGTTTTATTTTTACTGCCTGGAATTAAGATATTGTTGCTTCCTCCCAAGAGGTTCCTTTTCCTACCCCCAGGCACTAAGCACAAGAGAATTAGACAGCTAAAAAGAGGCTATCCCTTACAGGCATGTATGGAGGGAAAATATTTCAAATAGTTTCTAGCTGTTAGCTAAACATGTCTAATAAGGGATGGGAGGTAAGGAAGGGTTTTAACTTTGGACATGTGCCAATTCTAAATGAAAAATTCAAGAACAGCCAACTTTGCTGCAGGCACTCATTTACTTAGTTCCAGGGGTAAATTAATGGAACAGAATTGGAAGCTGCAGGTGGGATGAATTAATTGTCTTGCGGGGTTATTGGTAATGCCTAAAGTGCCTTGTAAACTAGAAGTACTTTATAAAGATGTCATTATAAGTACCTTTGTCATTGGGAGTGGCAAAATTAATAATGATAAAACAAATTAAGGATGCAAGTTGGATTTTATTTTATTTTCACATGAAGAAAAACATGTCAAATTAGGAAATGTTATATGGTAGAACCATACCAGGAAATCCTATCATTGAGACAAGCAGATTATCCAGTTACTCTGGTTCAAAAGACACCTAGTTATATATTATTTGTAAAACTTCTCTCCCTCACCTTATATGTTTCTCTTTGCTTCATAGGGGCCAGAACACAGAAGTAATATATTGATCATGCTCTTCACATATTTGCGGTGTGACTCTTGTAAAATAATACAGGTCCCAACATAGCTCCCATCAAAGCATTTTTGTGGTTACGTTAGAATTTACTGTGTTTTCTTGACTTCTGTGAATGCCAAGTAGTAAACTACTGATTGTTAACATCTATCCATGCCTAGGTGCTCAGTAACCCTTGTGTGTTAAATGCTTTCCACATATTTACTAACTTAATCTTAACAAAAATCTTGTGAGATCTATCCCACCATTGTTCTTGCTTTACAGATGTGAAAAGCTGAGGTTTAGAGGCAATGAAATAACTTGCCCAAAGGTTCAATCTAAGACCATGCATTCACCATGAGGAAATACTGTGTTCTCTGTATGTGTTCACAGTTACCCAATGGAGACTAATTCAGTAACAGGAAACAGACAAGATTGCATTAATCTTATCTCTTGTGTTTCTTTTTCTCCCCTGTTCCCACCTCTCCCTCTGTCCTTTCCCCCCATTTTACCCTCATTTCAACTCTTCCCTTTATTTTTTCTTAAAGGCAAATATGCCATGCGAGACCTGGTCCACAGGCTTCCAGGTGGGAACAACAGCAACAATGCAGCAAGTAAGGCCATGTCGGACGACACGGTGACAGCCGTCTGCTGCACCCTACATGAAGTGATCACCAAGAACATGGAGAACGCCAAGGCCTTACGGGATGCAGGTGGCATCGAGAAGTTGGTTGGCATCTCCAAAAGCAAAGGAGATAAGTAAGTCAGATGGTATTGGTAGAATGGGTTCTAAGTGTGCCCGACAGTCCCTGGTAATGGGTAATACTATCGAATGTCACTGGAAAGCATTTGGCTCTGCTAATCAAGAGAAGAAGAAAAAAGCAAATGGTTTCCAGTCTTCCCACCCCAGAGTCTCACTGGTAATTTCAATTTGATTAATAACTTATGACTCGGTTGACTACTGTGGTATTGGGAGGTTCTTTCACTATAGATTATCCCAGAAATGTTCTTTATTTGAATGAAATTTCTTTATGGAATAGTCACTTGTTGCATCTCATTGTTTCTTTATCTTTTTTTTCCCCACAATGTTAACAATCTGGATTTACATGTTTAATAAGAAGTGTTGCACTGAGTTGAGTCAAGCATCGTCCAAGTTATAGTCAGTTTCATCCATTCTTTCATGTAATTTATCTCCTGTTTATATAGTGGCTAATTTGGGGTTTAAAACAAGTTTTTATAGCTACAGATGTCCTCCTCTCTCACATTTATTTGGTTATTACCTCTCACCACTCTTAAAATGAATACAGAAGCATTGGTCTGAATCTTAGCACTAAACTCACCATTCATCATTCAGCTGTTACAACAGTAGTCAGAGAGAGACATCCATGTCCTTCTAGACAGGCTTTAATAAAATAGAAATTCTTTATTTAAAATAAAAGTTTGGGAATTGGGGATGATTTTATAATTGGAAAAGGGAGGAATATCAATTTACTATAGTTAATTAATAAAATGCTTGCAAATCTGTCTGCCTTATATTGTCCTTTAAAAAGCATTTATAGAAATAAATTTAATTCAAACCTGGTTTTTAAATTTAATATGAGAAAACACAAATAAAAAAATGGACCTACCTATGGTTTTCCATGTTATGTATCTATAAGTTTTATTTTTAAAGTAGAGGCCTGGTTCATGGATTTGTGCACCAGTGGGGTCTCTTGGCCAGGCCTGTGCCCTCTTGCAATTCGGGACCCCTCGGGGGATGTCGAACTGCTGGTTTCAGCCCAATTCCCTGCAGGCCAGGCCGAGGGACCCCACCAGT